CATACGAGGTCGCGCCCAGCTCGAGCCACCGGACCCTGGTGGCGTCCGAGGCGTCCGCGCAACCTGTGCTGTAGACGAGGCGCACCTTCTGGCAAAGTTCGGCAGGCAGCACCTCGAGCCATTGCCACCACGCCTTGCGGCCATGCACCAACAACCAGATATCGACGACATCGTGTGATTCGAGCAATCGCCTCAAATGAGGCGTTACGAGATGAAGCTGCTTCCACCAGTGATCATCCTGGGTGAAGTAGGCGACCTCGTTGTAGTGCCGCTCGAGGTTGGGGAGCGTGTAGAGCTTGGTGCCCTGTTTAAAGAAGGGGATCTCGTGATCGCGCAGGCCGATCGCCGCGCGTTTTGCGCGCGACGCAGAAGCATCGCGCTCGCGCACCAGAGGTGGTTCGAGCACCAGCGGGGGAAACGCCGCGGCGAACAACCCGGTGGCGCCAGTCACAGCGCCCGCGAGGATCTGGCGCCGCGTGAAGCGCGGCGCCGACTCCTCGCAGTCAGTTCCAGAACCCTGTGGTTCAGAATCACTCAATGGGGGTGCATGCCTCCGGCGTGGCTTGCTCGGGGCTCGCCAGCACAGGGGAGCGCCCTTCGCCCGTGGTGTACACGAAGCAAGCGTATTGAGCTTTGGCGTCATCGCGCTGGTAGGCCACGTGGTGACCATCCAACACGCTCGGCTCGTATTGTACCACGACCGCGGTCACATCTCCGGCGTTGTTATGCGCGGGCGTCGAGATCGACTCGCCGTGACCTCCGAGCGCCATGATGTCGAGCGCGACCTCCTCCTTCACGGGTTCCACGAGATCGATCCCCAGGGCGGTCGAGAGGCCCGCGCGCGATTGCGGCGAGAAGTAGCCATCCTGGAGGCCGGAGTGTTGGAGGATATGCTTTGGCGAGAAGCCATCGTAGGGCTCGAGCACGGCGCGGTGCGCATGCGCCATCGGGTCCACGAGATCCCAGACATGCTGGATGGCGTGGAGCACAGGATCGAACTGATCGAGCGGCTCCTCGTCGTCGTAGCGCAACAACGTGCGCAGCAAGGACGCGACGTTGACAGGTTGCTCGGAGGTCACGGCGATCTCGATGAGCACGCCGCCAGACCCGGAGAGGATCGTCCCGGCGGTGATCTGGTCGATGTTGATCGCGGGCAAGCCGATGGTCGAGCCCATCGACTGACCCATGGTGACAAAGCGCGCGTCATCGAAACGCATCAGCCCATCCTCGGCGGCGCCGATATCGATCATGCCATCTGGGAGGTTGACGATGGTGTCAGGATCGATGGTGAGCGCCGAGAGCAACCTCGCATGCAACACGACCTCGTTGGCGGCGACGAGGAAGTTATCCACCGTGGCGCGCGGGTTATTGAGCAGGTTGTAGAGCTTGAGGCCCGTGGTATCAGGAGGATCGAAGCGCATGCCGTGGAACTGGAAGTCGGCGGCAAAGCCCGCGATCCCGTATGGCGCGACGACCGCGGCAGGCCCGAGACCTGGCGCGGGAGGTTGCCCCTGAGGAGTGTAAGGTCCGCGCTCCATGAGCTGCTCGGCGACGCCACCCGAGCCGTGCAGGAACATCAACACGGGATACCCGCCCTCGGGCATCGCCCGGCGAGGGATCGTCAGGTACACGCGGATCGACTGCGAGTCGACCTGCTCGATGTTGCCATCAGCGCCAAACTTGATCTTTCCATCAGGTGCTCTCGAGTAAGGGAAGTCCCCCTCTTGCACGATCGGCACGGTGTAAAACGCCGCGAGCACCACGTAGTCATCATAGGCGCGCACGAACTGCACGGGCTGGTTCGGATCGAGCGATGGCGTCGGGATCGTATCGTAGAAGTCGTGCACTTGCTTGAGGCGCGCGGTGGGGTCGCCCGTGGTGAACAACGAGAGCGCGACGACGCTGGAGGTCTCCAACCCTTGCTCTCCGAGGAAAGAGAGCGCCTCGGTGTAAGGCGCCGCCGGGATCATGCGATCCTTGCCCTGCACATCCTGCCCATCGAGCAACGCGGCCATTGCCTCGCCAGCGCCGACAGGTTCGCCATCCGCCGCGAGGAGCTTGTCCGTCACCACGAAGGCGTAGCGCGTGTCGCTGCGACGCACGACGCCAAAGGGGCTCTTGCAACCGAGCTGGTTGGGGACGCGCAGTTTGCCATCGAACGTGTTGAACTGACACTCGATGGGGAAGAGCTTGCCGCGATCAGGAGAGTCGGGATCGACGTCAGCGAGGAAGACAGAGGGCCAGCCATTCTCGGTGGACATGCTCTCTTCGATGGAGGCGGGCAACGTCGCGGTATCGATCGCCGCGTCGAAGGTCAGGAAGACGCCCGCGATGGTGCTGAACCCATCGAGCAGCTCGTCCCCGGCGTCGAACCAGAGCTTGAGCGTGGGGTTGCGGTAAGCCTGCGACCAGGCCGCCAGTGAGAACTTGCCCTGAGCATCACGGCGCGCATCACTCGGGAATGGGAGCGAGAAGAAGTCCTCGCTGGCAGGATCATAGAGCAACCGCGCGCCAGACATCGGCGAGGTCATATCCGGCGACTCCCCCATATCGGGAGACATATCCCCAGGCATATCGGAGTCGACCGACATATCTTCGTCGACGCCCATCTCCTCTGTGCTCGTATTCGAAGATGTCCCATCGTCAGGCTCGGGCGTGACGGTGGTCTGGTTTTGATTGTTGGGGTCTTGATCTCGCCCGCAAGCAGCGAGCAGCAAGAAGGCGGCGAACAAGACGCCGCGGGAAGTAATGCGCATCAGGTTTCTCCTGGCAGTGACAAGTCAACGCAGAGGAGATTCCATCCTTTCGAGGTCGAGATCAAGCAGCGAGGGCTCCTTCTGACAGGAGCCCTGCAAATGCGTCTGCCTCGAGGACCTCTCGGGTCAAGCGCGCACGAGCTTTATCGAGGTGATCTCGCTGGGCGCGCCGATGCGCATGGGTGGTCCCCAGTAGCCAGTGCCACGGCTAACGTAGATCCAGGTCTTCTCCTCGTACATGTCGAGCCCGGCGGTGAACGGGTGCGCCAGACCGACCACGAGGTTCCACGGCCAGAACTGCCCACCGTGGGTGTGCCCGGAGAGCTGGAGGTCGATGTTGGCCTCGGCGGCTTCGTAGATGGACTTTGGCTGGTGCGCTAGCAGGAGCTTGAAGGCGCCTTCGGGGGCGCCTTCGATGGCCTTCTTCGGGCTCGATGCGTGCGCGGCGATGTGACGACCAGCCGAGTAATCATTGACGCCTGCGACCACGAGCGGTGCGCCCTGATGACGGATCACCTGGTGCGCGTTGAGCAGTGGTTTACCGCCAAGGCGCGCGACCTCCTGCGCCCACCCTGGCGCATCCCAGTAATACTCGTGGTTTCCGTTCACGTAGAAGGTGCCATGGCGCGACTTCAACCTGGCGAGGTGTGAGACATCCTCGCGAAGGTCGCGCACGTGACCATCGATCAGGTCTCCGGTGATGGCGACCATATCCGCGCCGAGCTTGTTCACCTCGTCGACGACCGCCGAGAGGAAGTCTCCCTTGATGGTGGGGCCGACGTGGATATCGCTCAGTTGCACGATATGAAAACCATCGAGCGCGGGGTCGAGACCTTTTACGGGGACCTCGACCTTCTTGACGCGGGGGATGCGGCGCGCCTCGTGGAAGCCGTGCGTCACGCCAGCGGTGCCCGCGGCGACAATGCCGACGCTGCTCGCGCGTTGGAAGAGCTCGCGACGCGAGAGCTTGTCACCGTGGCCAGGCTTTTCCGGGTTTTGATCCTCGTCCCGATCCTTATCACGAGTAAACTTCTCGACGAGCCAGAGGATCAACGAGATGGCATCACGCGCGAGCACCAGGACAAAGAAGAGCACGAAGGCGCCCATCCCGAGGTAGGTCACCCACTGGATCTCGTTCGAGAAGGGGAGCTCGATATCGAGGCGTCGGTTGGCGAACGAGAAGACCGCGAGCAGCAAGTCCAGGCCGATCACAGACCAACCCGCGATGGCGACGGGGAGCGGCGCCTTGGATTGCGTGATCAGGCGTCGACCCACGTAGAAGTGAGCCATGACCCAGATAAAAATCGCCAAAAGAAAGAAGAGCGCTCGAGGCATAGTGATTCTCAGTCGTGGAAAACGCGGGGGACCAACTTTTTGATGCCAACAATGAGGTTTCGGGAACGATTCCTCGTATCTCGTAAGAGAAAAGAGCCCACCGACCGGGCAAAGGCAACGTCAGTTCACACTTCTTAACGAAGCGACCTGGCGCGAAGTTCGAGCAACGCGCGCTCGACTTCGAAGACGTGATCCTCGGGGTTGGCGCCCATGGCGCGCAGCGCCTCGGCGAGCTCGAGGAGGTATTCGTCGTTATCCCCACTCGGTCCTCGCGAGGCGTGGATTTGAGCGGCGATTTCGTTCGCGGGCGCGTGCCCGAGGTAATTCTCGTTCTCTGTCGTGGCGATGTAGACGAGGACATCGAGCGGCGAGGATATCTCCTCTGGAAGAACCGCTCGCGTAGCGGGCGTAGCCTCCCTTCTCTCGGTAGTCGAGCGCCGAGGACCCGCTGCGAACCTGTGGGGTCGATCTTGTAGGAGACCCCACACTCTGGCGTCGGCTCGGGGAGCAAGCGTACCACGCGACCGGGAGCGCCAGGGACGCCGCGATGACGTGGAGCCCCTGGTGAAGACGCGACGCCACCCCTTCGATCCAAACTGACGCGGCGATCGACGAAGGGGAAGTCAGGGCGCCAAATCAGCGATCCATAACCGAATATCCAATCCAAACCAACCTCCTCACATCAGGGACATTCTTGCCCACGAGGGGGCACCAGGCAAATTCTGCCCTCCCTCGACAGCAAACCAACCACGCGCCAAAACCCGCATAAAAGGCTAACCAAACGACTTTTTCGATCCCGGCAAAACTTTTGGCACACCTCTGGCAATAGAGGAGAGCGCCCCCCACGACAGGGGGATCAAAAGTGCATCAGGAACCCATCTCCATAGAAGCCGCCACCGGGAGCCGAACATGACCGCAGCAGTTGACATCCGATTCGAGAACGCAACCTCACAAGCACGCCGCCACGAGGAGCTCGTCAACGACTACCACAAGCTCGTGCGAAAGATCGCCTACCGTGTCTTGCGCAAGTTGCCCGAAGATCAGATCAGCGTCGAGCTCGACGATCTGGTCAACATCGGGATGCTCGGTTTGTTCGACGCGGACTCGAAGTACGACCCGGAGGCGGGGCAGAGCTTCGAGAGCTTCGCCGAGTTCCGCATCCGCGGCGCGATGCTCGACGAGTTGCGCAAGCGCGACTTCTTCCCTCGCCGCCTGCGCGCCAAGGCCAACCGACTCCAGCGCGCAGAGACCAAGCTGCGCACCTCGCTCGGGCGCGAGCCGACCGATGACGAGTTGTGCGAGGTGATGGAGCTGACGCTCGAGCAGTTCCAGAAACTTCGCCGCGACACGCTCCCCTACTCCTTTGTCGACCAGTCCGACCCCACCATCCAGCTGCGCGATAATTCGCAGAGCCCCTTCCAGGCCGTCTTCGAGCTCGAGCGCCACCACGTGCTCGTGGAAGCGCTCGAGCGCCTCTCGGACCGCGAGCAGCTGATCCTCGACCTGTACTTCAATCAGGACTTCGCCCAGCGAGAAATTGCCCAGCTGCTCGACCTGACCGAGGGACGCATCAGCCAGATCAAGAGCGCTGCGCTGAAAAAGCTCCGTGGGATTCTTCGCGAAGAGCTTTGATTCAAGCGCCTCCGAGCGCATTGAGACAAAAATGCCCCACCTTT